TTTCTCTCTTTCTCTCTCTCTCTCTCTCTTTTCTTTCTCTCTCTGCTACTCACTCTTCCTCTCTTCCTTTCTCTTCGTAGCGTTCCTCGCATCCGCCGGACCGAGAACGGGACGAAGAGGACCGGCGCGCCGTGCCGTAAACCTAGTATACAATTAAACTACGAATAATAGATCGTATTACCTATTGTATTATCGATAATCGTGTTAAGCATTTACGACGACTAATCTCGTGGATCGAGGGAGGAGGGGCGGGACCAGGCGAGGCCGGGACATCCACGGGTCGACCTGTTCAGGTTCGAGAGCGGATCGAAAGCGCGACGTCGGGAAGACGAAACTAAGGGTCGCCGAGGAATCGGACACCATTCGGCAGCTCGGAGATCGTTAAATATCATTTCCGCGTGTTCGGACGAGAGGTTACGACGAGCGGAGTGGCTCCGTCGCCGACCGACGGCACTCGCGGCCGCACTTTGATACGAGCGTAGATTAATAAGACTGTTCCAGGGACGTTTAATCTTTGCAACGAAGCGACAAAGTTCCCTCGCGACCTGGGGGGATCCACTTTTTTTTAGAAGCATCGCCTAGAGGCATCCGCGGATGTCCCCTCATCGATCGTTCCTCATTGAGGCTGTATCCCCGAAGAACCGAGGACACATCATCATCGTCACGAATCCTCGGGCGACGAGCCACTCGCCTCGCGTTGCTCCTCGTTCGAGTCAGAGGAGCTAGACAGACAGGCCTCGTGATCAGGTAGGTAGGACGGTGGACGGGTCTCCTGCGATGAATCGATTCAAACGAGGGCCTGGCTAGGGACAAAGTTGCGTTCCCATCGGTTTCAACTTGTCCCGTGGTTTCGAATGGTTGATAAAAAGCTTCCGAGTCGAACGAGATGTATCCCTGCCAAGGCGGACGAATGTTCGGTGAACAGCAAAGCAAGTGGGAACGTAGCTTAAGAAATGCCAACCGGTGCGAATAACCGACCCAATTAATTGGTGCTCACACTGTACTAGTCGCGCGTCGCGCTATCGCGCCGTGAGAACCTCTGTCTCGCTGTACTGCGCGTAACGAAAGGTGGGGGAAAGGAGGCGGGGCCGCGCGTGCGCTCTGTTTGGCTCGGTTCGTCCTGGGACGAGCGTACGGACACCTGAACGGAGCCGATGTCGCGTCTCCGAGTTGCACAGCGTTCACCGGTCGCCTCGTGTATCGGTTCAAAGAGAGAAATCGAGCGGAATACCGTGGATGAACGGGAGCTGGACCCAGCCGGCGGCAAGAGCTCAGGAGAGACGGAGGAAACGAATAAGCGAACTCTAAACGGACTGTCAGAAACAGTAATTAAGGAAACACCAAACAGCCGGAGGACTTCTTTTATAGTGTTACCTAATATTAATAATAGTTTACCGTTACTCCTGACTACTACTACTACTAGTACGCCTAATTACTGTACCGAAGTAAACTACTACAACGACTACTAGTAAGCGCTTAATTAAAAGAGGAGGAAAGAGGATAAGGAGGAAAAAATATGTCGGGAAATAGACGAAAGGGGGAGGGTTGGGGGGGAGAGGGAGACGGATTGTTCAACTGAATGAGATCTACTAAAAAAAGCCAGCCTAGTCCCAGTTTAATCTCTGCTAAACCGTAGACGTTACTACCGTTACTATCCTACTGGCACTAATGTTACTATCATCGTCACTGTTCCGTTCGATTGTCATTGCGCGTGAACGCCGGTGTCCTTGGCTCACTCCCGTGATCCCCTGTCGTCTTCGAGGCACCGGGACACGATGCTTAAGACTTCCCGATTCGAAGGAATCTCTTAATTGAAACTTTGCTCTCCTTGTTGGCTGGGTTCCGAACAAAATGTCTTCTTCTACGCGACGGTCTCGATCGTTTAAGTTTCCCCGGTGCCTCGGAAACTCGGAGAGATCCTCGTCGAAGGGCGTCACGCGGAGCAACCGGCGGATCGCTGTCCAATCGAGCGTCGTGCACACCCACGACACTAAAGAAAAAAATGAATCAAGCGAGGCGCTGCTAGTGTCTACCGTCGAATTAGACTCGCTAGTGGCTGGCGCTATCGTCACTGCCGGGACTATCATCGTCATCTTTGTTCATTCGGTCATCCGATCAGGGTACAGGCGGCGGGCGGCCGTGGACGTTCGAGTTACCAATTGTTAATCAGTGCTGGTAACGTTAATACCTCCGTTCGTTATTACCCTAACAGAGCAAAAAGATTCTCGATGAATCAATTTTCACTTAAGAGTCCGCGGAGATCTGTACCTAAACACTGATTCATACTATATCTACCTTGAAACAAAAAACAAAGTATCGGTTCGGTGAATTCTTCATAATTGGCATTCTTTGAACCAAATTAAAGCGACAACCAATTAAGCGACCCATCGCGGAGAACACCCGATTCGGTGAAATCACAGATGATCGATAATAGTTTGAAGATATATATCTTAGGTTCGGTAACTTTTTTCCAGTTATCATTCGGATCCTCGTTCGAGCGATCGAGAATCGTTGCCAGACCTAATTAACAATTGACGCGAGAGAACCCCACGGCTACGTCCATCGCGTTTCCATGCTTGTTGTGCGACGAATGTTTCTATGTACGTGTACAACGTGTATAACTTGATAGCCTACAGAACAGGGACGGATCCAGATTCTGAACACTGAGAGGTGGGGGAAGGCTCGGCGGTCACGTGGCCACAGTCGAAAAGTTCGGGACGGGTATACACACGCGGGTACGCAGGTTTTTCTTTCTCGAAGGAGTTCCAATGATTTCCGAATAGCGTATCGGTGCTAAATCTTTCGTCGGTCGATAAACTTCAATTCAGAGATTCTTCTCGTTCGTTCTTATCGTTTTCTCTTGTTCTATTGTTCACGCACGGTCCACGAGATTTCCCGCCTTCCCCCTACCGGCGCACCTGCTGGACCCGCCCTTCGCCTACGAATTATTGTACGATAACAGCCGTGTTGTAAGAGTGTAAGGGAGTTGATTTTCTAGTCAGGTACGAGTTACGAAGTCTAACTTTACGTTTTTCGGGCAGTCAGTAGTTTTTACATCGCTGTGAATATGTAAGATGTTTTAACGTTTCTTTCTCGTTTCTGTTCGTTTTTATTCTTCTCTTTCGTTTCGAATCGAGCGCGTCTCGTGAACGTTTCACCAGCGAACCGTATGAGAGACATAAGTATACACGCGTACACACCGACCGGCGCGTGCACACGTTCACCAGCTCATACACGAACACACGGAAATTTACCGATAGACGACAGGGACGACGAGTATAAGATACGATTTCGATTTACTATATTAATTACGAATTAATTCTTCTTACTCTTATTATGATTACTATGATTACTGCGAGACTATTATGATTATGATTATGGTTATTATTGATTACTACCATCGTCGATTATTAGTTAACTATCACTACAGTCATATAATACCTTTGTAAATGAGAATCAAGACACTGACGGCTAGGGAAAAAACTTAATAAATTGAAATTCTATTAACCCAAATGCGTTCCATCGATTTATTCCGTTTAATCTCCTCGTTTCTTTCCAGATTCAGATTGAAACGACTCGAATTCGATCGAATTGGTACAGTTTTTGTTGTTGTTTCTTCGCGTCGAGGCTTACGAGAGAATGCTCCTTTCTCGGACACGTCGTTAAATCGACGAAGTATCACGTATTGAAATAAACCATCGTTACCGAGGCAGTTTGAATACTTAATATCCTTAGATAATTTCATACGAGCTGCGAGAACGTAGCTGTCTTCAGTTTATCTTATAATGTCACATTTTCGCAGCGTTACGTTCGGAATTCGTATTCCTCGTTGCAAATGTTCATTGCTTTTACAGTGTGGTAAATAAGTAAAGTACTATAGAACAGTGAAATATGTCGATCAATCTGAACTGCACCAATAAAAACATTCTTAGTCATCGCGAGAAAAGAATTCCAATATTACCATACACAATCTGTTTATTCAGACAAATTAACGAATAAGACATACCTTTAATGGTGTCCAGAAAGAACAACGTTTCTTTATAATCTTTCTATAATATAACATCAAAAGCTATACACATAATTACTAAATGTATAAACACACCAACCAGTGATGGCAACTTTACAAATCGAGAAAACTTGTGTCACTAAATAATACACAATACTCTTCATCCGTCAGTAATTCACTCATCCCTTAAAACATTTTCTACGCTTTGCAGAAAAACAGTAGACATCCGTGACTTCACTTACAAAGTATTAATAAGAGTATGTCGAAGAAAATTCCCTCGAGACACGAATCCGTCGTAAATCGTTCTTTCGTCTCGAAGTAATAAAAATACTGAACAGAGGTAAAATGGTACAGTTGTTTATCGATAGATGCGATCGAGCAAAGATACGTGGTGGGATTGATCTTATAACAGGACAGCTCGCTCGACGGCGAGTCACTCGAGGGGCGATCGCGCGATCGTGCGACCGAGTTCGACACTTTTCAAACTACTTTTCCCGAAGTAGCGAGATCCAAACACCAACGAGATGGCGAAGAACCTGGCGCAGATGACCGTAAAGGAACTTCGGTGTTTCTTGGACTCGTTCGACGTCGTTCTATCGGACTGCGATGGCGAGTCTCAGTTTTCAGTAGCTAATTCGAAATCTCTGTCCAGTGCGTTAAATGTTTGTCATCGGTCAATGCTTAACGCAATGACCGATCTATGATTTACAAGTTGTGAGTTTCCTTTAACGATAGACATTGTTCGGTAAGAGTAGCTGTGTTTCTAAGTGAAGGAGTCGGTCAAAGACATCGCTACGATAAGTAGAAGAGTAAACAAGTAGGAAGTTTCGAGGAATATATGAGAAGATGACAGAACGATCGCAAATAACGGGTACTGAACAGGACAGTGAAGATTCGATTAGAATAATCAATAGGATCCTTTGGTTGTCCGATCAGGTGTCCTATGGATATTCGACAAATTAATTCCCGGAGCCCTCGAGTCCCTGAAGACGCTCCAGGACTTAGGCAAGAGGATCCAACTAGTGTCCAACAACAGCACGCCGTATTTCAAAGACTACGAGGCGAAAGTGAAGCCCAGTGGCCTGCAGTTTCAACCGGTGAATACTATGCTTCCAAAAATCAATTCTAGCTTCGAATTGTTTACTGCACTTTATCCGGGTTCTATTTAATCTGTCTTCTTACGGTAGTCTGAGACATTTTTGTTAGAGTTGAAGCGAGAAGCTGATCTTCCTGTTGCCACATGTTTCACATCGATTGTTTCGCAGGCACAACTGACCTTACCGTCAACGGTGATCGCCTGGTACCTGAACAAGATCAATTTCCGCGGCGAAGCTTTCGTCATCGGAAGCCCATCGTTCCGGCAGACTTTGACGGAAGCTGGTATCAAGATGACGCCACCGGGGGTGAGTTTGCTTTCGATGTTTCTCAGTTTTCCGTCTTTCTTAACCAGTTAACCGTGTTTCACGAGTATACAAGTCATCTTGCAACTCTTAATGGTGCTGACTTTTTCAACGATGGATTATTTATTTCTCGAGACAAACATGTAATTCTTCCTCGTTTCGCTTTAGTTTTTCGTTAGGATATATTTCAAGTGCACCTGGCCTGCATTTAACGAGTATACACTTCATTATTTGATTTTATTACGCGCACAATGAGAGATTTCTCAAACTAAATTCCACACTTAACTGGTTAAATAACTTCCAGATAACGCAAGAATTACCTTCGACCCCGTCAACTGTAGATAGACTAGTTCACACGGTGCTTGGTTTCTTTCAGTTTCCGGAGATCACAAGGGACGTCTTAGGAACATCGGTAATTAACGCGGTCACAACGGGAGATAGCGATGCGATCGTCCTCGACTACAGTTTAAGGGCCAGCTGGGCGCAACTGACCTACGCGATTAATCGTTTGAAGAAAGAAGACCTTTTGTACTTGAGCGGGACGAAGAGCCGATCGATCCTCGCCGGCCTCAGGAAGGAAGTCTTAGGTTATCGATCTATCAGTTTTTGTTAGGTCCACCGATAAGTAACCTACTTCCGAAAGGGATCGAGGCATTTTCTAGGTTTAACAAGAAAATTCCCTTTACGGACGATTGTTGACATTTTACCGAGATCAAACTGTCATGTTTGTAACATTAAGTCGCAAACAAATGATTTATCTACTTAAACAGCAAGAAATCAGAACACAGTTCCCATATTCTCTATTATTTCAGCATTCGATATCTAATTTGGCATAGTCTGCAGCAGGTTTTGTATACTTTAAACAATCTTCTGCAAAGGGTTAGTAATAATCATAATAATAATGAATTAGATAAATTTTCAAGATTAACAAATTCTAAATAACCGAATGCTTATTTGGTCAGTCGATAATTATATAAATTCGAATGCTTTGAGATTCATTGCATAGTCTCAAAGAACTTCTGTCATTCTGGAGATTCTAATGATTCCTAGGCGCCGGACCTTTGACCGACCTGGTCAGCAGGATGAGCGGAAAGCAGCCGATCGAGTGCGCCAAGCCCAGCAATGTCCTGAGAGAACACCTGATGGACATTTGCCAAGTAAAGGATCCTAAACGATGTCTATTCATCGGAGATTCGTGAGTCGATTGTTTTACGTCTCGTTACCTGCTGTACTTGGTCTGTTCTTAATTACGATGCTTCATTAGAATCGCCACGGACATGACGTTCGCGACCAAATGTGGCTTCCAGAAGCTGTTCATAGAAACCGGCATGGACAACTACGCGGATACGTTGAAAAACGAGGGTACGCAGCCGGATTACTACCTCTCAACTTTGGGTTTGCTGACATCGATCATCGAGTCGGCGTCGAAGAATTCAGCAAAAATGAGGAGCAGTTGACGCGTGGACGAATGGAAACAATGGAGATTGCCAGTGCAGATTTTTTGCTCGCCTCGGAGTCGACGAATCTCCTTGAAGAATGGGGGGATAAAGGTTAAAACTGCAGCGTGGAGATTTCTAGTCGTGGCCTCTGTACCGGAGAAATAATTTATTACCGAACGACCTCTGACATCCGGTTCGTTACCGATTTCTTTTTGGAATAAGTTAAGCCTGAAAATGCGTAAATAAAATATTATGTCACATATTATACATGTAAATGATAATCTGTACAGCCGATCCATGAATAAAAGATTCCGCGACAGGCCACGAATCAATTCGCATTAACATTAACGTGATTGCGACCTTAGCTTGCAGCTAAGCAAATCTAATTTCAAACTTTGTGTCAGTTCACGGATGACCTAATCCAAGAAGTTACGTCACATCTCGCTCGTGTCATACGAAATTGCGTGAAAACAGTTATTACGTGTTTTTAAAAATTTTCCACTATAATTCCAGCATTCATTCCTCGACGATATTACTAAAAGGTCTGGATTAAATCTAGATCATCGCATCCATGTCAAATCCAAATACGGTGAGTCGGGACGGATGACCTATTTTCTCGAAAACAACCATTACGGGATGGCTATAAAACATATGTACACATTCGTGCAAGTAAACACATATAAAAAGAAGAGTTACCAGCTTTTTATGACAAACATTGTCACGTTCGAACTATAATATTAAACTTTGTGTAATGTATCGATACCTGATACATCGGAATAAAATAACTTTGCTTCTTAATTCAGGTATGATTTCACAGTAAGTTTCCAAAAATGTCTGTATTTCTTCGGGAAACGGATAAATCTAGTGAAAAGCTTTCTAGTGCAAAGGGTTGCCTCCACACGAAATTCAGTATGCGACTAAAATCGCAGATGTTTGACAATATAAAAGAGACCACCTGGAATTGCCCTAAATATTCAAATCGCTCGTTACTTCGTTCACCCGGCATCATACTCTTCCTAAGCTACGCAAACCGATCAACCTCCTGTTCTTTCCTAATCAAAGTTTTATCTGCATAGAATCTAGACCAGATTAATCTCCCGTGCGGCTCCGCCCTGATAAAAGTTTATCGCGCCAGCTTGAAAAACGGGTCGAAAGGAGCACAATAAGAGGGGACCGCGATGCGGCTGTCTGGCGCCGTTCAGTCAGCTCTCAGCCAGCGACTGATGAACAGCGCAAAATCGCCGACAGCGAAGACTTGCGCCAGACAAGTTGCCGAGGAGGGAGGCGCGATCATTGCATAATACCAGCGGGCGCGCTAGGAGTCGGAAATGATCGAGGCTCGCCGGTGCATCAGCGGCAAAGAGGATCGAAGCTTTGCTTGAGGACGCAGGCAACGAGGATCATGCTCGGACACCCGGTACGTTCACGCCGTTCTCGCTCACTGATCAAATCCCGGTCGACGCGCTGTATTTTACGCCGAATACATTTGAATAGATCTGAACCTGTCGATTCGTGAAAAGAAAAACTGCCTCGACGCTGATATTATTTCGTCACCTTTGACCGGAGCGATAAAAAAATCCTACGTAAAATCAAGGACGAGGTTTCGGTCGAAAAAAGTTTCACCTACGACGCGTATACTTTGAAACGGTGATAAGATTCGCTTGCAATTGTATTTCCTCTGTGTTCTTTCGACATCTTTCCTGTCTGCCGTTAGGAGATAGTGTTTTTTAGACGGAGAGACGCTCGATCGTTCCGGAAGAGTCGGGAAACGAATAATCCGCGGTAAACCTCTTTAACGGGGCAATTCGATTAGGGGAATGATACAATACGTCGCGTGGCCGTGATTCTGATTCGAGTTGGAAATGCATTCGTTTCAGTCGAGGAGACTGTATTCGAAGGCAGCTAGCTGTGTGCAGAAGTGATCACTGTTCACTTGTTGTTTACAGTACGCTAGCTATAATTAATCATGAGCGTGTGGCTGTTAAGTGTTGAGATTTCGCGGAGGCTTTACGAAGCAATTAGGATACGCTTCTGCGAATGATTTATTCCTCTCTTCGTTCGTGAGTTTCGGAGATTAATAAAGCATTATGTAAATTTCGGGGCGGGTAAATGATAAATAAGAGATTCTAGTCTGCGGGTGAATTTTTGAATAAACAAGGTACCTACGGATTCCTTTACCGATCGAAATTCACGTTGACCTATCGAGATCTAATATTCATTTAACGAGAATTTCATCTGTCTTCGAGGAATTTTCGGTCGAAATCGAAAAGCCGAACAGAATTGAATGATACAACTGTTACGCCCGGAAGGCGCACGATTCCATTTCCCCGCGTTTCGCGAATAACCAGGGAAACTGAAAGCGTATCTATATCTCATTGGTCTTCAGGACTGGCGGCCCTCGGTGGCGATAACGTGCACTCTCGCAGTGATTCTGGCGGCGGTCGCTTGGAACATGCGGAGGAAGTCCTCGAGCCAGAGCAAGTGCGAGGGAAATGGGAAGGAGACGAAGACAATCAGCGAGATGAACGGCCTCGGCAGCGCGAAACAAAATTCGGACGCGGCTCCTGCTCGGAGCAACGACACGATTCCCGAATTACCGGATCCGAAATGGGTGAAAGTGGGACAAGTCCAAGAATTGTACATCTACCCGCTGAAGTCTGGACGCGGGAGGAACCTCAGCGACTGCAACTTCACCGAATTCGGGATCAGCATCGAAGACGAGAGGAAGTGCACGCTTCGAGACAGGTAAGAGGAGCCACTAATAATTTTTAACGATCCTTTAGAGACGATTTTCACCTGGGCAAGCTGTAATCTCCTCCACTTGAAATCCTTATCGTCGTTTATCACTTGTTAACGTTCATTAACGCGGAGGAGCGAAGTGTTTCGAGTGTTTTGCAGCTCCTTCGAGCCAGTGGCTCTCAGCCTACTTTAATCGCGAATTATTTCACACCTCGACGCGTCTTCCTGACATTGAAACGGCCATTTTAATATCCGTTAATCGTTCTGGGTGTTAATTTAGTAGCCGACGCGTCGGTATGTTCGAAACAGCTGATGTATAGATCCCGTAGACCCCATTCCCGATGGAATTGATGATCATCCACTGTTCACCAGAATGTTTCTAGTGTACAACGAGGAGACCGGTCGCTTCCAGACTGGCAGACAGTATCCAACGATGATCCTGGTGAGCCTGTCGGCGGTGGATGAGGATAAAGTGAAACTGGAAGCCGTAGGGATGCCCAGCGTGGTGTTCAATGTACCGAAATGCGCGGAGGACAACCCTGAAGCTGTTCAGTGTACCATGTGGTGGGGAGAACCAGTTATGTGTATCGATTGTGGACCACAGGCTGCTGAATGGTTGTCGAGGTACGTGGAAATGCTGTTGCGACTTGGCGAGCTTCGCATACGCGAAATTGTACGCGATAATGCTGATAAAGGAAAGCTATAGACGTTTAAAAACACCGTAGCCTATGACACCGCTTGAACACCCTGTAACCACTCCCGCTTCTCTTGCTCACCGATTTTTCGACCCGCCCACTGACCTTGAGAAAGCGCACTTCTAATCCTATTTCCGTTGCAGTGATATAGATAAATATTCATTTGCATAGATACTAATACGGAATAATTAATGCACGGAGAATTTATTACGGAAATGAAGAGTGTTGCGAGTATAATTAGAAAAATGTAATCGCGATAGGGAACTATTTTAAGGTTTAAATTATCTTTAGATATTTCATATTTTTTTACGTATTGCATGTTTTCAACGTGACTTTGAATTTTCGAATTTCCTGTGAAATATAAACATTCGTTAAATATGAAATTGCATGGAATGTAGTCTAGAAATAAGTATCGACAGGACACTGAACAGAATGAAACCTTCCAGATTTTTAACCGGGACGAATTCCGGTCTCCGATTGGGCTGCACGACGCTAGATAGGAGGGACCTGACCACCAATCCATGGAGCAAGTTCATTAAAGTATACAGCACGCTTCAGAATGAAGATACCGTAAGGACAAAGGCTCAGGGTTCATCGAATATTGATATAGATGTTGGCGTACCAACGCGAATACTCTATTTCAGGGTTTGTTCAGCGATTTGGCAGCTTACATGCTAATGGCCACGAAGTCCGTGGACGCGCTGAACGAGAAATTAGATGCACCAGTACCTGCCCTACAGTTCCGTCCAAATATCTTGGTCTCCACGCAGAAGCCGTTCGAAGAAGATAACTGGGAATGGATCAAGATAGGCGAGAAGGCTGTGATTAGGAACGTGAAACCGTGTGCGAGGTCTGAAGTGAAACTGTATTATCTAAATTGCTTGACCATCGAACCAAATTATCAACAATCGACAATTAATATTACGAATATCGCGATTGTTGCAGGTGCAAATTCATTCTAGTGAATCCAGAAACTGGCGACGCGGAGGCTGACGAGCCACTCAGAACCTTGAAGAGGTTTACACTCATTTTTTCTTCAGTTTCACTGTATTTTTGTATTGTCTATATTATCTCCTACGTTATCTCTCTTCTACATTGTTCTATATACTAAATAGTTCTATATACTATATACTAAATCGTGATCCCGTTTTCAGTTTCCGTCAGCCTTCAGATCCAGCGCGACTCGCACTCGAGGGGACAGCGCCAACGATAGGAATCTATTGCGGAGCTTACATCCCTGGGAGAGTGAAAACCGGCGACGATGTATACGTCCACATGGCGGACGACTCGCAGTCAGCGGAGTCATCCTGAGCCGTCCAGTTAGAATTTACAATTTCACGGGAGGAGTTCTCTACCCACTGCCTTCGCTTCCGAGAATAGATAGCGTCACTGATCGTTAAACTGTTAACATTTCCATAATAATACCACGGAAATGCTTCCCGAGATGACAATATGATATACAATTTTCAACGAAGGATTGTTGTTGTTGAATACAAGCGAACACAGTTTCTATGGCTATGATAATCGAAGTATTTGACTCGTTATAGAATAAATATGGTTTTCTACAACTCACAACGATGTTATTCATTCACTTTCGCGTGAAACTGAAACGGAAGGCCGGTGGTATCATTCAGGCGAACCGAATAAGATATTCTCATCGAAATAATGATCCAGGAAGATTGAACGACGTATTCCGCGAATTACGTGAATCCGATCTAGTTTCAAGATATATAATGAATAATGGCAACCATACTATGAAAAACGAATATATCAAACATTCTCTAACAAAATATTTCAATCCTCACTATTATCACTTTCTTACATCTCACAATGTAAACTAGATCTATGCGACGTGTTTATCGCAACGTAAACAAAATGTTTTACAAGCAACAGATTTCCGTTATGGCGAAATAGAAAAACCGAGATCCGATTCGAAGGTTTCAGTGTTAATTCAATATCTCTAAATTCAAATCGGTAGCATATGCGCGTCAACCTGATATTTATTTGAAATCCGACATCGCCACTGCAAAAGTCGCCGGTAACGTAATTGTAAATCTCTTTCTGAATCAGACGGCTTCGAGGTAGCACCACAGATAAGGCGTCGCCATGCTCGTAGCGCGTATTATCGGAAAGTATTATCTAACCCACGCGCGCGAGTTCTTTTTGTGGTTCGGCTCGCACACGGTGTTTCAGTCGAGGTGCGCCAGGCGAGCGAGTTCAATGAGTTGCGCGCATGTGAATGGCATCCACGCTTCCACCCGTAGCTATTCGAGCGACAGCGAAATGTCTGGTCCGAGGAATTTGTCCGAGGTGACGAGGGAAGAGCTGCAGAGGTTTTTGGATTCTTTCGATGTCGTTTTCTCGGATTGCGACGGTGAGTATTGCCTGGCCGTTGGGAGTCATCGATTTAAGAAACGTTCCTTTCACGTGTTGGATGTTTGGGGTTGTTCTGTCAACGCTGGGAGATCAATGAAAAAGAAGTGCATGAACTGCATTGGCATAAAGTGCATTGGCACAGGATTTCTAGGTTGTCAAAGATTCTTTTTATTAGTGGCTCCACTGTTTAGTCGTTCTTGTTTAATTAGTAATACCATTTTAAAGTGGGATTGTAGATGTTGGATCGTTGAATGGAGAATTTCGAAGGAAAAAGATTAGTGGGAAATTTAAATGAAATTTGAGAGATATGTGTGAGAATGGAGAAACGATTGAGAAGATTTTAGGTTGGATTTAATATAATCGTTTCGATTTGGATAATTGATGATCGTTCGATCAGGTGTTCTGTGGATCCTTGAGAAGTCGATCGAGGGATCCATCGAGTGTCTTAAAAAGCTGCAGGATCTCGGCAAAAAAGTCCACCTGGTGTCGAACAACAGCACATTGAGCTTCGATCAATACCAGAAGAAAGTGGAAAAAGGTGGAATGGATTTGAAACCGGTGAGTGATATCTTCGTTTCGTTATTTGAATGTAGGAAAGCTCGAGCATTTCGGAGATCTGTAGAATACCGTTTTAGACGATAAAGCTATTTTTTCTGCTGTTCGCTCGTGAATATATTATTCAGCAGAAGGAGTGAAAAACGATGACTTGTTTGACATATTCCTGTTGAAAAATTCATGAGTCGTGAAGTAAAGAGAATAATTGTTACATACTTATTCCGTTATAATTGCACAATGCAAATCTAATGAAGAAACGCGTGAGAGCGCTACCGTAATTTATGCTGTATAAAAAAAGCGTAGGTTTTAAAACTGTTTCGTTTAGCACATGTAAATATTTGATATAATCGAAAGTGTATTTTCATAATTGCTGAATGTAGAATATTATATGCAATTCCAAATAATTTCGGTTCTGAGTTAAAAATCAATTAAGAAGAATCGACAGGCTAGATTAATAAAGAACAACTACGAAGCTGTACATAAATTCGTCAAGAAAAAAGAATGATATTGAAACTAATAATATTTTCATCGCAATAACTGAATGAAATATCTTCATTCGTTTCAGCTGTACTTATCATGGCACCTCATAAAAATTCGAAAATCACTGCTATAAAGATCCAATCCGAATTGAAATATTTCCAATTCAAACCTGATAGGAATCATCTAACCGCGTGATCGATGTTACACGATTAATTATTCCACAGGAACAACTAATAATTACGTCAAAAGTGATCAGTTGGTATCTAAAGAAGATCAATTTCACCGATGAAGCCTTCGTCATCGCCAGCAGGGCGTTTCGAGACACATTTGCGAGCGCTGGTATCAAAATGACACCGAAAGAAGTGAGTTTTTTTTTCAATGATATACGAACGAATTATTCTGACGAAAATGTTTGAATCAACTCCGAGCAACCATTGATTTTGAGACGACAGATCAGGTACGAGTAACACTGACACCTTTCAGGTCCCATTGATCGTCGAAAACAACGTTACCGTGTCGGTGAACAACACGTTCAACGTCTCATCGAGTAAAGCGGTCATCGTTGATTTCTGGTTGAACATCGATTACTCGAAAATGGCGTATGCCATCAATTGCCTGAAGGCCGGAGACACTTTGTTCTTGGCTGGACCAATGGACGAGTGGATCATCTGCGGCGAAGATATGCATATCTTAGGTAACCGATGGACTGTATAAACTATTACCTTTTATTAGATCTGCTTGCGCGAGCGTGCGATTACGTAAGTATATAAGTATATAAAGCACTCTTGATAAAGTTCCAATCATTTGCAAGAACTTTCTTTTTACATGACACTTCAGTTCTCCGATTTTATATACTCATTTAAAACAGTTTCATATGATATCCAATAAAAGGTCATTAGCGAGTGAATCTTCGAAAGTTCAGATTTAATGATTCCCAGGCCCAGGACCGATAATCGATCTGCTTAGCACGCAAAGCGGGAAAAAGCCGATCGTATGCGGAAAACCCAGCGCAGCTCTGAAGGATTACATTCTGGAGATATGCGACGTGAAGGATAAAAAACGATGTTTATTTATCGGTGATACGTAAGTTAACTTCTTACAAAGATACATATCGTAATTGCAATGTTTTACAAAGCATTACGTACTTTTAATTTTTAATCGCCGCTGAACTTTTAGACTGCAAACCGACATGAGGTTCGCAAAAGACTGTGGGTTCCAGACACTTTTCGTGGCTTCGGGTCTCGATAAGATAGAGGACGCGTTGCAGAAACCTGAGACACAACCGGACTACTATGTTTCGAGTCTAGGGGCCCTACTGAACACTTTGAACTAGCTATACGACGACCAATAACTTATGTTGTTCTATAATGTTGTGTAATTATAAAAATTTGAATACACGAGAGGCTATTGTGAGAATATTTTATGAAATGAATTTGGATATATTAAATATTTGTAAAGAACAGTTACACCTGCCTTGAAATTATTATAAACCCGTGCGATAACCCAATGTAATCGAGATTAAACATTATACCTAAGTTTCTCCACGTTCATTTTAATACTTCATACTGGATCGAACTTATGATCGATCCAAACCTGATTCGAAATTACACATCTCATCAGAAATTTCGTACATTCGTCTTAACCGAGATTTCGGTATTTGATGAACTCTTACTTTACTTTTGAATTTTTAAACGCAACTGTATCGCTGCGAGCCGACTCAATGGCTAACGTCGGAAGCTGCACGAGATAAGAAAAAATGTGAGCCGCAGAAGGGAGCTGGCGTTCGCAGCTCTACAGATAACCGTGGCTAGGAACAGTCAGTTTGAAACAGTGATCGTGTGACTGTCGCTTAGAATGTCAGCGATGCAATTGTTACTCGTAATTTTCGGGCTAGCGGCGGTGTACGGTGAAAGAAATGTGAGGCAAGATGGTGAGTGGAACTCCGACTTCACGAATTCGATCTATAGTCCGGAATATTTTTAATAACTTCTAACATTCAACGAGAAAGTATTCCTAAAACAGTAAATTTAACAAGTCTCGTTATCGTTGAAATGAAATTTGAGGCGGATAGATCAGTTTCCGCGTTAAAAGCAACAATTCAAAAATTCTGTAGCTTTCCAACATACACTGGGTCACTTGGGACCCCGGACCTCGCCAGCAGTGCAGGCCGACGCTGCTAAAGGTGTTGCTGAGAGGTTGCTGGGTGCAGATGTAGCCGAATTATTCATACTTAACGTGGATCGGACCATTGGTCCTATCGGCAAAGATACATTTATGGTAATTTTTATACGAACAGTTCATCAATCATTCGCGTGAATATATCACAACTGTCATCTAGACTCGTTCTACGCGTCATTTAATAGCTTACTGACTAGATATGCGAAACACCGCGAAACTGTATCCAAGAAAAAATGTCCTTGATAAAGTTTGCAGAAGCAATAAATCGCTTATTTCGAGAAACATAATTGCACAGATGCTAACCAACTGTTTTGATCAGATAACAAAAAATTCTCTCGGAAAAATCGAAATCACCGGCACTTCCGGTGTGGCCGCCACCTGGGGCTTGCACTATTACCTGAAGACCTATTGCAATGCTCATTTATCATGGGAAGGTAATCAGCTAGAGCTACCGAACACGTTGCCAGACGTTCAAGTGACCGTTGTATCGAACGACAGGTGATCAACGATTTCTCAATTATTATTCGCTGTAGATTCTTTACGTAGCAATTAATCTGCACGGTATTGAAATGTCCTAACAGGTTTAGGTATTATCAGAACGTCTGCACTTTCGGCTATAGCTCTGCCTGGTGGCAGTGGGAGCAATGGGAAAGGAACATCGACTGGATGGCGCTTAATGGGATCAATTTAGCACTTGCATTCAATGGGCAAGAAGCTATCTGGGAACGAGTGTATCTTGAACTTAATTTAACCGTGGCCGAGGTTAACGATCACTTTGGGGGTCCAGCTTTCTTGCCTTGGTAGATTATTTTTCCTTTCCCTTCTTCGCTGACTTCGAGGTCCATATACTTTCATTAATTTCAAATTCTTCACCTTCGCTCGTCTCAAGGTCCACGAAGATATTATTAAATATCGTATTTCGAAAATACGAATTACCGTTTTTAACACATTGCGCGCCGGCCACGCGACAATGCGAGATTTTCAGACTATCGTTGAATTGCTAGTCCTACATTAATGTAACGTTTTAGATATGTATAACACAAATCCGAAGTAAAATTACAAAATAGAATTCCTTATTCTCTTTCGTAAGTCACAAACTTCGGTTTGATCGATATTTAAAAGTATCAATATAATCACCAATGCTCGCGTTTCTAGTAGCTGAAATTCAGCCGGCGTACGTGATAATTCACAATCGATACCTCTATCGGTACTAACTACGAAGTCAGCCTTCGTGATTTCCAACTGTCTCTTCTCGTTGACCTCTTTGAGGTCTAATGCGGTTTACCGTCGACTGTCCAGGGCTAGAATGGGCAATATCCGTGGTTTCGGGGGTGGGCTCAGCCACAACTGGCATGCAGCAACCATCCGCCTGCAGCACCGCATTCTCCAAAGGATGAGAGACCTGGGGATTATTCCTGTTCTCCCAGCTTTCGCTGGACACGTGCCAAGGGCCTTCAAAAGGCTGTTCCCTCAGGCGAACATGACGAAGCTGGGCGTTTGGAATCATTTCGCGGATAAATACTGTTGGTAAATAACGCGTGGACTTCTATGGAAGTAATATTTCGTCGCTTCTACAGCTACATTCAAGGATCTGCCCTGATTTCAGTCCTTATCTCCTGGACCCAACTGATCCATTGTTCCGGACGGTCGGCGAGAAGTTTCTCGAGGCGGTAATCGAAGTTTCTTTTGCTAATCGAGACGTTTCTCCGGCATTTTGCAATTCGATGTTATTGTTCGATAGTACATCAAGGAGTTTGGAACCGACCACGTCTACAATTGCGACACGTTCAACGAGAATGAGCCGCACACTAGTGAGCTGAGGTACCTGCGAAACATTGGGCGCTCGGTTTTCAACGCTATGAGCAACGTTGATCCGAAAGCGATATGGTATCGGCCTTAGAGATACGTGTTTGATAATAAATAGCTAGTAGTGTTGTTTGTAGGACTACAGTGAAATTGTTGTTCAAGGCTGATGCAAGGCTGGTTGTTCGTCCACGAGAGTACATACTGGACTCCAGCGAGGGTACAAGCTTTCCTGATGTCTGTGCCAATTGTAAATACGCGGGAAAAAATAAATAATGTCATAGAAAAATTTGTTATCATGATGTTAACTATATATTCGCACCTTTCAGGGTAAAATGATCGTGCTGGATCTCCAGTCTGAACAGTTTCCCCAGTACAAGAGACTGAACTCGTATCACGGTCAACCTTTCATTTGGTGCATGCTGCACAACTTCGGCGGGACACTCGGTATGTTTGGATCCGCGAACATTATTAACCGTGTGAGTAACACCAAGGAACTTCTATTAATTGTAACCTATCGAAGAAATATATTTACTGAAGCAACTTGGACATTACGGGCGAAGTTAATGGACCAATAGCGTCTTCTCTAGCAGTATAGGCGAGATCTGCTCATCTGAGATCTGAATTTTCCAAGTCGGAAGTCGTATTCCATTATTCTTTATTTCTATCTTAGCGGATATTTGAAGCCAGAAACATGCCAGGCAGCACGATGATTGGCACAGGCCTGACTCCGGAAGGGATAAATCAAAACTACGTGATCTACGATCTAATGAACGAAATGGCCTATCGGGAGCAGCCTGTCGACTTGCAGCGATGGTAAGGTTCGAATGAGACATGTCCAGTGAACTTAGTTTTTCACTTTGAGGTTCACGTCGCCGTTAATTCATTCAATTACAGCCTAACATGACGCTCTATTTATTTATTCAAGAATATTTGGGAGTAATCGAAATGTTACCTTTAAATGGTACAATTGTAATACTATGAATAAATATAGAAAAAATTGTTAAAACAAGTAGAGGTTGCAATAAAATAGAAGGGTTAGTCTACAAAAACAAGAGTCAATCAAACAGAAGAATAGGTATTTCGTTACTTTAGGTTCGAGAACTATTCCATTCGGAGGTATGGCGCGAGGAACGAGTACACAATTGCTGCATGGAGGAGTTTAGGGGAAACGGTCTACAATTTCGATGGTCAGAGGAAAATGAGGGGACGTTACGTGATCTCTCGTCGACCAAGCTTGAATCTCGCGCCATGGGTACGTTCTTTTAGAAGGATCGATACGGATCGATAGTTTTATAATTGATTTACTATTCTTTGACAGTCCTGGTACGATCCCGAAGAATTCCTTAACACGTGGGCTATCTTCCTAAAAGGGAGACACGGTAGAGGGAACAGCACTCTCTATAGGCACGACGTGGTTGACATGACTCGTCAAGCTCTTCAGCTGAAGGCTGACCATTTGTACTTGGATCTGATGGACTCTTTCAAAAGGAGCAACTTCTCCTCTTTCAGGTCAGAATGAAATCGTTAACACTTTGACTGCCACGTCACCCGAATTCTGATAACATTATTTTTTACGGAAACGCGGACATTAATCTTTTTTCATGACGTATCGAACGAACCGAATTTTGTTGGATATATGAGATATAAGAAAGATAGTGGAGCAATTATTAAAAAGAATCTTGATTTCTTAGTCTCTGGTTAATGGAGAACACTGTTTCAAGTACATGGGAGTTTTGATGGGTGTTTACGTGGCAGTCAAAGTGTTAAAGACTAAGTGCTCAGAGTAGATGGGAGATCGGACAATTATCTTATTTGGTTTTAATGTGCCGCGTTCAGAGAGGCTGCCATATTCATGCTAGAACTCTTCGATGATCTGGAGTCTATACTGGCCAGTGGGAAGGACTTCTTACTAGGCACGTGGCTTCGAGACGCTAAAGATCTAGCGACCGACGCTGTAGAGGCGCAAGTGTACGAGTACAACGCTAGAAATCAGATCACTTTGTGGGGACCGAGGGGAGAAATCAGGGATTACGCGAATAAGCAATGGTCCGGAGTCGTCGCGGATTACTTCAAGCCTCGCTGGATGATTTTTCTGGATGAAATGGATGCTGTGCTAACCAAAGACGCGAAGTTGAACGTAACGAGCATCAACGAAAAGATATTCGAGGAGGTCGAGAAGCCTTTTACATTTTCTCGGAAGCTTTATCCAACGGAAGCGAAAGGTAAAGTAGAAGTGGCAAGGTTTAGGGGATGGTTGATCGAACATTGTGTGAATAGATGGATTTTCGTAGGCGACTGTATCGAGTTGGCGATGAAAGTCTTGTCGAAGCTTAGCAAAGTCGGGATCGCCAGGAAAAATAGGGGATCCATACGGAAAGGCGTAAGAGGCCAGGGAAGAATGAAGTTAAGAAACTCGAGGGCTTATTGGATGGATCATTAAATACACTGAATGTAAACTTTGTAAAGATCGTTAATATTGATAAAAGGACGTTCTACCGTCGGATAGAATTACAGAATGAAACGGCAAAGATAGATTCGAAGATCTTAATCGAGTGCTAGAGAAAAATCGTAGACCTATAGAGACGGTAAAAAGGAATTGTTGTTAACGAGTCGAGTGCTAGCTAGATACAGGTACATCGGGTACAGTAAAGTATCTAGACGCAAGAGAGCCGTAAAAGTACTTCCGCTTGTCGCTGACATCGTTCCCGCTGATTAAATGACGTCTTGGCAGTAAACGATTAACAGAACCCTTCGGCCAACTGACTGCCTTCCGCTGTGTAAATTAATAAACGGAAAATCCATCGGTGAGATTGATTGATTGTCGAGGAAAATCAACGTTCGGCCTGAAAAATCTACGACTTTTCGTCGCTAATCCAGTCAACGTTCTCTCACGACTTGTATCTTGACGATTATTTATAAATTACACCCTCAATTGGCTGAGTTCGACGCACGGTCTACTATAATTAGTAAAAGAACTATTAACCCTTTGCCCTCGAGAGGTGATTCTCGGTCACCATTTTGTTTCATACAGTAAAACTACAAAATTTGATAGTTAATTTAAAATTTTAATGTTATACTGCGTACAATGCATCAATAATAAATGAAATATTGAAATAAAATAGCATTGTTCCACAAAATATCTTTGCCTCATCAGAAAATGTGAAAATATTTTTGGAAAACGTCCGAGTGCAAAGGGTTAATCCATATTTTTGGATCAAATATTTCGGATGAATTTGATCTTGACAATGGTAGTGTAACAATAATTTTGTAATATCAATTACGTCGTAACTGTAATCGTTGTTGGTAACGTTTTTAAATAAAAGTTTGTTTATACTCATGGGATTCATGAAGTTATATATCGCGCCATCTTATCGGCCATGTTATTAACTGATTAATAACCTACTATCGCGCCTTGATGGCGTTGTCAAACATTCGAAGCGGTCTTTTAAGAAGTTACATCCCAACAAAGGAATTAAACAAAAAGAACATTAAACAGGTATCAATTGTCTTCGCATTCCTTCAATCCAATACAATCAAATTAAAGAATATTAATTACATTATAATCCCGTCTTGGAATCTTCGTGAAACTTTTTGCAAACTTTGGCAAGCTTTTAATTCCTGCTTTGTTATTTTATAACTTCGTGAATCTTTCGGAATATACATTTCACAGTATGTAGCATTTTAGCCAATTATAAGAATGAATTAATTTCTTTGAAACTGAAAGTTTTTCGACATACCTCGAGACGTCTGGACGCCCAGCCTCAACACGTCTTTTCCCACCGCGATAGCCTTAGTTTACTGTTTTTGAGTAACGAGCCTTAAAAGCGCGAAGCGGCGCCGCCAAGTGTCACGAAATGGTACTAAACGGTCACGAGTTTCGGAATTTCGCCGCAGATGTCGCCACGCAATCGACTCTTAATAATATTCATATTCAACGGTAAAATGTGGCTGCAACTGGAAAGTGCAAGACGCTCGCAGTTTGGAATGAAGAAAAGAGGTACGTGACATTTTTTTGTACCTTCTATATGTACCAAAAGATAAGTCTCCAATTCGTTTATCGATTGAATGAATTCCTTTAGAGATTTAAGAGATTTCTTTTCATCTAATAGTACTTCGAATGGGAGGCTACTACTTCGCGCCATTTTCCGAGTGCCAATTGAGGGTTAATTCTAATTACAATAAGTATTTTACAATTCCAACTTGTTAGAATAGATTAAGAAACATAGTGTGCATCTAATATGAGATACTATGAGATAGTACAAGGTACAAAATATCTTGTGCATTTTGTAAGAATATAACATGTGTGTAACACCTATTATTATAAGAGAACATTGCATACAGACATGGATAGAAGTGCTGCACTTCCAACATAACAGTCTTGTATCCATGATTCTGCAAGAAAGATTCCATCAGACGTGTAATACCATTCCTTGAGACGGCGATAATGAACGATGGTAGTTTCTAGTTCGAACTAATGCTCCAGATTGTTCAAGATGGAGACACATTTGAAAAATGAAACTAGACACGCGTCTCGAGACCAGCTTGATATGAATTTCATTGGTAATCTCAGTTAACGCGATCCGTGCTGCGTGGGGCGTATACGACCCACGCTGAATTTTCTGTTCAGGCCGAAAATGAATTCTCATTGAAAAACGAAGAACTTTTTAAAAATTTATTGTAGAGTCAAAGATAGGTATTTTAATACTATGTATACTGCGGTTATTTAATCTTAATCGATTGTAAAAACGTGGGTCGTATACGCCCCGTACGGCCCGAAGGGAAAGTCTTAAAAAAATGGTCCGGCACGGAACGTGTTAATGGTGTTACACGCCATCGGAATCACCGTAGACGTAAGATTCTAGTCTTGAGAACAATACACGTACCCGTAATAAGTCGACGAAGTAGACCTACCGATGCAAAGGACGTCGTCCATTTTGGTAGCAATACGAACGCTCGCTCTGACGATGAGTATCGCTCGAAAGATTTTCTTAGAATACAACCAGCAATGTTCCCACTTTGCCAATAATCGAGCATCGGTGGTCGTTATGCCTATAGCGTCTCTAAGAGTATCGAAACGGCTATAGTAAACCACTGGTAACGTTAATAAGATCGAAAATCGGTTGGCCCGTATTGGCTGGAATACGGATCTTAGACTTCTCCCGCGGGGAATCCTTGCGAAATAGTTCGTGAGGTCGGGACGAGATATGATCTTCGATTAGCATCCGGTAGTAAAGTCGAGAAGCTATCGATTTGCATTGAAATACGCTGTTTTTTTTTTGTTTCTTGTGGTCCCCCGGATATATCTGTTAACCCTTCGCACTCGAAAGTTTTTCAATGGAAATATTCAACGCTTTTCGACGAGATAGGTGATATTGTTTGTAACTGATTTAACGATAATTCATAGATAAATTAAGCGACGAAGGTGGTTTATTTCAATACTTCACGTAACAATGCGAAGTTCAATTTGAAATATTAAATGTTCAACTTTATAGTTTTGTTGTATCGAATCGAGTGACTGAGAGTCACCTCTCGAGTGCAAAGGGTTAAGGTCCAACGAAATCAAGAATCTGACTTTGGTTGCGGTGACTTGGTCGCGTGCTTACAAAATAGGACTTAGGACTATAAATCGGACTATAAAATAGGAATTAATTATTTACAGTTGTCGCGTGATCCCCGCGATCACGTGATCCCGTTGTACCGAGTCTAGGGAAGACGATCGAGTCGAGGTTCGCGGCGAAACTTTGTTTCTTTCTCGTCGGAGATGGTCAGGAAGATAGGGGACGTCTTCGGTATTCGCGGAACGTTCTCCCTGGATCCGGCACGGACGTTCGAGAATGTAAAATATTCGGTTGAAAACAAGCTTAAACAGTCAATCGAACGTACAAAAGATTCTCGCCGAATGTAAAGGTTACGGGGAGGTGCTCGATCACGATCACAGAACGCGTCAACAAAACATCGAAATCATTTATGTTCCTGTGTAGCGCTAACACGAATCTATAATACAAACGATGTCGTTGTCTCGTTGGCTGCTCTTCCAAGCCTCTTACAAAATACAGCTAAACGTGCATACAAAATACGGCTAAGTTTGTCCATCTACTTACGATCGCCTAGCTAAAGTTAGTAAGTAAAACGCCAAATGGCCTTGCGGTTTGCGGTTAATTCCTCCGAGCCGTTATCGTTTCCGTTCCGTCGCGCGCTCAGGCTGTTCCTTCTTCGAATATTTTCCGCTTAAAGAGGACGAACGATTCGTCGAGCCTGAGGACCGTGAAATCGATGGTACACCTTGGTTTCGTTCGATGGTTGTTCGGAAGGAAAAAGTGTATCGAATCGTAAGTTCAGGTTTTGATTATCGTGTGCCGAAAGACGATCGTGCGAGACTAGAGCCATTCCTGCCGTGTTTCGCACTTTACGCCCTGTTGAACCGTGAACGCCGCATGCTCGATGGCTCGGAAGAATTAACCGAAACGAAAATATCTTCTTCGCTCCCAGGACTTACGACTTACGAATACTTCGGTCTGACTTTGTTTTCACTTCGGGCCGCAGTCTACATTAAATGTTTCCCTCGTCTATATTTAGGTGGGAGCGGAACGCTCAACATCAAGCTTGTTCCCTTCCCCGTTGCTCGTCCGAATTATCCGTAAAGTAGTCGCATTCCGGTTTCAGGAACCGCGTAAGTACGTTCTTCAAGTGTTTAAGGCGAATTCGCAACGAGCGCTGTGCATTTTGCCGTCGGGGATCTGTCGTGACCGATTTGGACGAGATTCTGTCTTTGATTATTCGCGTGTACGCATCTGGAAAATTGTTAACGATCCTTTGAGACCTGTTCGAACGAGATTTCGATTATTAGACCTTCAATCCCCATACCCTGACTGTTCGTGGAATCAACGGCGATTTCCTCGGATGCTGTATCGGGATTGTGGATAATATCACCGCCTCTCTGTCTCGGTTTCTTGACTGGACGCTTCCGTGACCGGCGGCAGGGCGCTATCTATGGACATTTGTCTGAAAATTTAGAATTCACGTGAGAAGTGGTAAAACAACACGTCCTCTACAACTGCGAACAACTCGGTAAATATTCGTATAACAGTAGCTCTGAGATTTCTGCAAATACCGAACAACGATTCCTATGTAGCTGTCTGCTAGCGACTTTAGCTACCAGAACGTATTGGAACCTGTCCAGGAAACGAGTAACACAGTTCTACGTCTAAAGAACTGACGCTTATCCTCGAAGAACCTAGTTTCTGGAAAACTGTGGTTCTCGGAAACGGAATAGCCACTCAATGATCGCCTACCTGCCGTTTGTCTGCCAGTCATACGAGTCCGGAGCAGAGTTGCTTCTTCCGGTTCGCTGGAATCGTTCCGACTTCACGTTCCTGACCGATTTCCCAGGCACCTGAGTCTCCACGGACCTCGGCGTCGAGGGCAACTCCAAACTATCGACACCGACAGCGTCGGCGCCCGCTGCCTTCCCACTCTTCTTCGGCAAGAACGGATTCTAAAAATGAGAAAGGCAGCATATGAGCGGGTGGAGATGAAAGAAGAAGGACGCGGGAAATGAATCATCATCGCAGTGTTCATAAAGCCGTCGAACACCCTTGAACTCGAGCGATATCGATTGCCTACGCATCAAATAATGAGAGCGTAGCCGTGGCGCCGCGCGGCCAGAAGATAGCTTTCCAGAGACGGTGTCTGCGAGCTGCGTATCTCCAGCGAAGATATAGAGCCTTAGTCTCCCGTCGCTTGTCGGATCAAATGTCGGTCGTAATTGGAATTCAGTGGTCGATATTGTCGTCGCGATCAAACAGGGCGAACTGTATTCAATGTCATCCTCGTGGAGGATTCGTTGCAGTTACAAAGACTCTTGAAAGAGTTGACGGGTTATGAAAGATTAGGAGCAGGGATGAGATCTAGCTAAGAAAGGCTGACTGTTCCTAAACTAGCACTGCTGTTTGCCTGCCGGATCAACGGAAGATAAACTTATGTTAGCGAAACGTAAATAACCAAATTCTCAAAGCAAACTTCCATGACGCGGGTTAAGCTAGGAACAGCAGCGCGACAAAAGTTTCAGCCAATTTCCCGAAGGCGCCACGGTATCCATTAACCACAGTTCGACGCCAGAAAAGTTGCGCCAGGAATGTTCAATGAACGAGCAGAAACTAATCCGCGATTCATCGGATACCGATAATTGCTATGTGCGGGTTGCGTGGTAAGTTCTAACGAAAACCATAGGAACCCCGGCTGGGATGAGAAGCTCAAACCCAGGACGATTGTCGACGCTGTCCGCGGAGGCGTAGGCCGATTGGAGCCGAGCGGTTGGGGTGCAAAGATCAACTTAATTACTTGGAAACTGTGCTGCTTCAGCATGGTCTTGATGAGGATCAGCGTATCCAGCTTCGGTATCCTGGTGACCACACGTTCCACCTCCTCGTCCGTGACGGTGACCGGAAGTCGGCAATTGTCGGCCTCGCTTGGCAGTGGTTCCGCACCGTGATTGGTCAGCCAGGCGTGCTCCTTGATCCCTGGCAACGAGATCCTGTCGGCCGCGTTCTTGGCCAGCATCCTGGAGATCAGATCGCAGAGATCCTGCGAGAGCAACGGCTCCTCCGGGAACTTTAACGGCTCGGTGCGAACCGCCGCTTGGACGCCGATTATGCTACCGGAACCGTACCAAGGCACCTTGCCGGTTACCAACGAGTAGAGCGTCACTCCCATCGACCACACATCGCACAGCTGAAACATTTAAGTCCCAAAGGAATTAAGACTGGAATCATTACGGTCTAGCCAACGAATAGCTGTGATCGAAGACACCTGGCGATCAATTAAGTGGGACAAGATCGAACTCGCGTTGTTTGTCTGGTCACCACGCGTTAACTATAGCATTAAGTATAGAGTATGGTTGAACATGAATCTGTATAGACCTAAATATAGGCTACAGTTAAATTTCGATCATCAACGAAGCGAGGCAAGTGAAAACACGACTGAGGGTAATGATCATGCCGGCCAACGCCATTTTGTCGGTCCCGTCGGTACAGCATTAATTTACCTTATCGATAGGGTCTGCAAGTTTAAACAAACATCATTAACGTTCACTGGCCAGGAATTGAACCCAGGGAGTCGATAAGGTCGCGCGATAAGTCTAGACTATAATCTGCGAGAGACACACGAGACGAACGAGAATAACGTTAGTCCGCGGTAAATTATACGGTTCTTGAGCCCGGCGGGGGCGTAATAACGTGTTGCTGGTGTTAATTCCATTGTACCGCTCTCGAGCTGTGGAAAGATATTCGCGTTACAGCCCCGCTCTTTTCATTGGAAAAACAGTGTTTCTTCTATGGAACGCGGCTACCCTGAATAACTACGAAGACAAACACGATCGCCTATCGTTCTTCTAACAGTATCATTTCTGGGACAGAAGTGAAACTTCGCGTTTCATGCTTCACGACTATTTCCGACAGTTGTAAACGCATGCAAATTTCATCGAGTTTAGTTAAAACCCGCACTCTCGAACGGTCAGAGTAATCGCTGTGTATTCACCGAGGGAAATAGGAAAGCGACTAAATATTCAAGGGAATTCCTTTTCCTCCACTGTGCTCGTTTGATTAATGGATCGTCCTCGCGTCAGGAAAATCGTATCAACCGACACAGAGTCGCGCGACGAAGATAAACTTCCGCCGCGGCCGCTACATTTTAACGAGCGGGGAAGACCGGCCGCCGCTGTAACCTAATTTCTTGAGTGGCAACTTTCCGTACTTCAAGTTCACCTGCATATTTTACGATACCGTAAAGAAATCGATGTCGCGTTCCCGAGGTGTGCAACTCGTTTCATAAGTTTCCCCGTTGAGCCGCGCGTACGTGCGCGAGGACGTTAAACGCGCCCTGAAACTTTTCAATGGAAAGCCCCCCCGCACGTCCGATCGGCCGTGAGAGTATCGATAGCGCAATTGTCGATAAAATTGCAGCGCCGGAAAACAGCGACCGAACCGCCGCCGTTCGTTTACGTGTCTTCGAATGATTACAAACAGATCACTTATCCAATTACCATCAGCGAAACGAGACCGCGGGAGGGAAAAGAAACTCTGCATGACTAACGATCGAGCAGCGCAGCAAAAACGAGACGAGAATGCGCAAATTGCAGAGAGGCGAACAGCGAAATCGAGAAAAACCAAGCGAGAGCAACGGTGTGCGGTGTAATTATCGCCGTTTACAACGGAATTGCAGCGATTATGTGATTCAGCGGCACGCGTGTTTCCTTGAAACTTTTCCGTCGCGGTTAGGCCAATTCCAGCGCGCTCCGTCGAGATTTCGCTGGTTTGTCTTGTTGAATTACCAGCGAGACAATGGGAGTGAACCTTTAACCCGTGATACCACCGAGTTTCGAGTGAACACTGTGCAACGAACCGTTCGGAATAAGCCTGGCCGTTCAAGGACGCGGATAGAACAGATTGTCAATGAACACGGTAATCAGACGTAGGTAAACCGCTTCCCCCGAAATTGAAAATCGATGAACCGCCCGTGTAATTTGAATTAACCGTGCAATAAGTAAGTTCCCATTACCGTTCGTCTTCATGTTCGCCGTGTCGTCGTTGGTTCTAGTTAGATGTTACGATTGGAAAGGTTTCAACGAAAATTCACTGCTTCGCGGATCTTTAGCACCGGTTAGACTGAATTAATAATTTTCGGCGACGAATGGCGTGGAAGTTTCATTAGTTTCGGGTAACGTTGATGTGAAACAGTTGAAAATAATAGGCTACCGAAATGTAACAGTTTGCCGGACACAATTATCATTAATATTTCTACGCGCGACGCTACAGTCGGGGCCGACCGACAGCCGCGTAACTGCGGCACGCATCCACTGTAAGCCCCCGATTAATTATCGATAATGAATGTACTAACTGGAAGTTAATTTATCTATAAATAATTCATCTCCATTCGTATCTGCGTATTGCGTTAATTTGTTCCTCGCTGGATTGTTTTCGTATTCGCGTTGACGAAACGTTCTGTCAATAGTAATATTGTTCGCGATAGTATACAATATTCAAACTATAAAATACACACTCGAATTAAATGATAGGGAAGAGAAACTCTGAATGCTTCAATCGATGTGATTGTGCAAAGTTCAGTATAGAAAAACGTTTAACTCTTTGCAGACGTATGTCGACACTTTGCCGAGATCAAACATCCATGTTTGGAATACTACGTTGCAAACAAATGATTGAACTACTCGAACAACACGCAATCAGTACGCAGTTTCTTTAATCTATATTATTTAAGCATTCGATGTGTAATTTAACAGAATCTACCGAAGGTTTATACTTTAAAGAATCTTCGTCCGCGAAGGGTTAGTAGAGTTCAATAAGATTCTTACTTTCATTAGAGTAGAATAGAACTTCTGAACAAATGTAGTTTCTTTTGAATTCGTACTTGTAAATGCACAATCTCTCGAATATTTCCTCGATTCCGCGGGCAAGGAATCGATTGAACGATTGCCGGTGCATGGCGGAAGGTACTCACAGTTCCGGAGTAATGGGCGCCAGGTGTGGTTGTTTCGGGTGCGGCGAACGCCGGTGTGCCAGCTGGTCCAGTTAATAATTCTCCGGATGCCCTCAATTCCGCGCTGACACCCAGATCAGCGATCTTAATGCGGCCGTCGCTGTCCACCAGCAGATTGCTGGGTTTTATGTCGCGGTGCACTATCCGCTGGTAATGAACTGAAAGGCCGAACGCCCAGGAGTAACCGTTAATTAACACCTGGTACCAATGTACCTGGTATCAAATTTACGCGCGGCGATGCAAAATTGCCAAGGGGTTAAATAGAACACGAAATGATGTCAACAGACAACTAGAGAAAATGAAATGACACTAAACTTGATGCAGTTATAGGGTTCGCAATGATCTTCAACAGTATCTAACGAGCTTCTTGCCTTTGCAACTCATAACACTATCGACCTTCGATTTTCCTACAAATCAGTGCACGAGAATGTTCCTTCTCGCAGTGAACTAAGTAGCTTCGATTCGAAAGGATCGATTAACAATTAAGTTCGAGTTACTTACGATACTCCACGCCCATCACGACATCGCGGAAGTTCTTCCTAGCGGTTTCCTCGTCGAGCGGTTTCTCCGCGGGAATCTGTAGTATCTCTCCCTTTTGGACCAGCTCGAAAACGAGGTAGAGATTGTCTTCGTCCGGGTCGTCGAGCACCTCGACCAGTTTCACGACGTTCGGGTGATCCAATTTTTTCAGCAACGCGATTTCCCTGTAGACCTTCGCCAGGGGGTCAGCCGCGCCCTTCCTGCCCGGCGCCATTCTGCCGAAGATGCCCGCCTTCTTCATCAGCTTCTTCTTGCTCAGGATCTTCATCGCGTAGTGGGTCTCGTCCTCCTCGTTGTAAGCGAGCTTCACGATCCCGTACGAGCCCTGTCGGCAACGCGAAATTGCAATGGCCCGATCACGTTTCGACTACGCTGCGCTCTTGCGAATTAACTATTCCCGAGGTGTATCGGTTTGGAGACGTGTTTCACATCGGAACTACCGGAACGACTGGCTTCGGATTACTTATTTCACGATTACTCGGATTACAGAGTTCGCAATCAATATCATTTGCAACAAGTTACAAATGTCCTATAACCTTGTACGATGTAACAAGTAGAACGTTTTAGATGTATGGTAGTTCTAGTATTAATTTCAGTTGCTCTGTTGAATATTTTACTGCGAGAGTAAAAGAACTGACGACCGACTGTGCAGTTTGAAATTATCGTTCTGTGGAAATTTCGAATACCTGTAATTACACTCGTGAAATTCATTTAAACGCTTCGAAATGAGTTCGAACAGAATTCAGGAAACGCGAGGTGCTTATAGACGCTATTGTGCTTCTCGAGCACCCTTATCAGCCGGTCGTTGAAGTTTCGCTGAACTTTTTAATCGTCCGACACACGAAGAAACGCAACGCTCGCGACTGTTCCGTTTCCTCTGATCGAATTCGCGAATCGCGCACGGAGCTCCGAGCTCGTTCCCCGAGGACAAACGGCGCCGCGGAAGTGACTTCGCGAACCGTGCATCGATGTTTTATAAAATAAATAAATTTCACGTTCCCGTTGGCCGGTCCAGGTGGCAGCGGCGATTTAATCTCCACTTGGATTGCAGTTGGAAAGGACGCGATCAGAGGAGATTGAATCGTCGACGCGGAACTTGAAAGCTCGAAACGGCGTTCTTTGCTTGGAAAGAAGGAAAAGCGGGAAGAGAGGAGCGCGGGCTCTTCAGAGGCTGGCTCAAACAGTTTCCGGAATTCTGCTCACGGAGGAACTTGCGAAACTTCGTTTCGTGTGTCGATCTACCCGTTTCTTGAACCACCTGGCTAATTGAAGCAAGCTACCCGGGGAACGTAAAACTAATGCCGAGGAAGGTTAGGTCTAATAAGACCCTGCGAAGAGGATCCTCGAGTTCATTAGTTACAAAATTACCGAGTTGTTTCATAAGCAGTCCCTGATAGTGACACGAATTTTAATGAAACATTAATGCAGTTCTAAAGAACGATTCGCGATAGAACTACCAGATGAGTCAAGGTAACCTACGAAATAATCGAAAAAGCAGTTTCACTGCTATCTAAACTGAAATACGAGCCAGTTGATAGTTTATAAAGAAACTTAAAATAATCAGTTCAAGTTCTCGGTGGTTCTATCGTTAGAAATGAAAGAATTCAAATGCATCTCTCGAATCCAAGAAGAGGACTCGGACTCTTGAGTCTCCAACTCAAGTCCAAACATCGCGAAAACTCACCTGGCCAATATTGTCCAGTAACTTGTACTGGTTCAACTGCAGAGCACCCTCCCTATTGTCGATGGACACCCTCCTGCTCTCCCTGAGCGGTCTCCTCCTGTTCCTAGGCGAGCCTTGGGGACTCCCATACGGCGAATAAGGACAATAAGGATAGATAGGCCTGATGCTGACATTGGAGCTATCGCCAAGGAATTTCTGACTCGCTCCCGTATCAGTGGATAAATAGCCTTTCTTCACGAGAGTGTCGTCGGTGATCTCAGCAAACAATCTGGTGTTCATGTCATTGGAGACACTAGTGCTCAGAGAAAGAGTACTGCCCCCGGTCACGTCATCTTTCGATTCAGCAGTCATCATTATAGACTGGGACACATCGTCGCGCTTGGATATCTGCAGCGACGTCCTTCTGTCTGCCAGGTACATCTCCCGGTCGGTCCTGTCTTCGGACTGGGTGGACAGCAGCTGGTAGACTTTGACAGTCCTGGGGAGGACCTTCGACTGGTCGTTCTGGAATTGGCCAGTTCCATTGTCCGCGTTGTACGGTAGCGCCAGCCTGTCGATCAAGTCCTCCTCGGTCTTGACGACGTCCTCCGCCGATGGGTTAATCGGTTCGATGTTGATCCTCAACTTCGATCGGTCCCAAGTCTCCTCAGCTTCTGCTCCAGTGCTCCGGCCGGTGGAGTCAGGGTTCAACGGGATGAGCTGGCAGAACGATCGGTTCGAGGGCGTCAAACATGTCGAGGAGTGGTCGATCGTCGAGGTGACGGTGACGGTCGCGAACGGATCTTGGTATTTCGGAGCGACACAAGCCTTCTTCGTCCCCTCGAGGGCTTCGGTGTCCGATTTCGGCGAGACGCTGCGGCCCACCGGAACTCGCCGCGCTGACGGCTCGTCTGGAACAGGAAGCGATCCCTTGGAATCCTTCGCGGACCTTTCTAAGTGAAGATGTTTACGCCGCCTTGGAGTTCAAGGGTCTGGCAACGCACGCTACGGCCATTAATCAGCTCGAAACAGACGGACTACCCATTATCTCTCCATTAGCCGACTTCGTTGGGCTAACTAACTTCCAGTACCCTAATTTTCCACCACTCTGACTGCCTAGTTGAGCTCAGGCAGACAGCTCGAGCAGTTGTAGTCGGTTCGTTGCTGTATCTAATCGTCGGCTTGCGAGCAAATGTCAAGAGCTTGTTTAACACTGGGTCTATGGACACTTGTTGTACAGATTGTTTCATCGTTTCCAAACTGATGTTCGTTCATTAGATCTCAGAAATTAGAAGTTTAGAAATAGAGGATTAGATTAGAGTGGACATTTGCCAAATAACGTTTATAAAGTTTAGTACGCGGCAAATCGAAGCGTTCCTAAACTTAGTGTTAAAGAGCTCAATCATTATCTAAGAGACCGTCGAAAACGATGGACGCATCGATTCAAGCATCAGTTATATCGAAAGCTACTACTCACCAACGCTGACGCGGTTCACGAGGTCGCACAAGCTATCCAAAGTCTCGAGCGTGGCGGAAACTTCGTCCCTCATCAGCTCCTTCGCTTCCTCGATGTCAGGCATGTCTAGTCCTGCGTTGGACAGCTTCCGGTGCACATCCGTGGTCGGCATCCTGACAGTGTCCGCTTCCTCCGTCAGGCTATCCTCAGCCCTGCTGACGATCACTCTGGAGTTCGGGCGCTTCGGCCCGGTAGACGACCTGCGTCTTTCCTTCAGGAACGAAGACAAGTCCTGCGGGACGTCCGCCGTGGACGAGCTCCGCCTGTCCTCGTCGAAAGTGCCCAGGTTGCTGGCGTAACCGCTACTTTCCCGCCTGGGTCTGATGATCTTGGGTCCCCTGGCCTTCAGGATCTCCCGAAGAGTAGGCAGTCCCTCTGTCTCCTCGAGGAACAGCGCGCTGTCCTTCCTGACTTCGAGGATCTCTCGGTCGGAGAGGTCCTCGGGACTGGACGGAGACCTGGGCGACTCTTCGCCGTACTTCGTCCTGAGTTTAAAGGACTCTTCGCGGGGTAGCTTGATGGTCACCTTACTGTCCAAGTCGCTGGACCTCTGCGAGAATTTGTTTCTCAACTTCGGGGTGTCCGGCGATTGTTTCAGCACCGTTTCCTGCTTGATTAGCAGAGACTCTTGCCGCGAGGACAGGGGATCGTGGACTCCGATCCGGAAGCTCAACGGTCCTCCCGTTTTCTCCGGCGAGTATTGGAAACCAGTCTCCGCGACCGGCGATCTTCGACATTCGAATTTACGGATGGAAGAGAAGTGCTCCGCGGCGGAGCCCGAGTCTAATGGAAAAACGATGTTCCTCGACGCGTCCAGCGATATGTCCAGCGACGGGTCCCTCGTGTCTTGGGGAACCGCTAGCGACTTCGTGACCGAGCCCGGCGATTCTTCGTCCACCGCGTTGTGCCTGGAACAGATAGGATTACTGTGTAGGGATTTATCGATTTCGCAGAGAACATCGTTTAGCGGATGATGCGCTGATTGGACAAGATTATTCTGGCTCTGTCGCGAACCCTTTCGCTTGAAACGTGAATGTCTTTGGTGATTGTACGAGTGACGGTTCGTTGAGAACTTCTTGGAACATTTGTTTATTAGGTTTCTTTAGTAGCCGCGAGATGAACGCCCAAGAATTGAATGATCTCCAAGGCGATGTTATCAAACAAGTGTATCTCAATACTGACGCAAAGATATTTTTTCAACAAACGAAAGCTTCATCCGCGGCGAATGTTTACCACGCTCCTCGGTTATATAGAGCGGAAAAGATGCGAGATGAATAATTCATCTTCGGCGCGCGTGGATCTCTCAGCTGGAATCTTCGTTGTTTCGTATCGGACGCGACCGCCGCGTTAGACACTGTTCCGACGCATCCAGAAGCTATAATCCAATGACATCCCTTTAACCTTTCAACCAGTAACCTCCGTAGAGTAAGCAATTTATGCGCGTGCCTCCGGATGCTTCTGTTCTTAAAAAATACTAACAATTTTTCCGAGGTATATAGGATTTCGATGAAAGACTTTCGATTGTATCGCGAAGCGATAAACGATCACCCGAGCCGGTTATTCCGCAGACGAGCGTTTTCACGTAAATAATTCGGGGACGAGGCGTGTCGGGCGGGGAATTGAATTTCCGTGAAAAACAAATCCATCGTCGTTTTCGGTGGCACGCGAAATCCTCGATAGCGGACGGAACAACGATCCAATCTGCGCTGGACGTATGAACGGTGCTTCGCGAGCGACCTCGGCGCGTTTCTGCGTCACGGAAATCATCGATGCGTCCCCGAGGATTGTATTGTTTCGCAAATTTCACGCACCCACATCCCATCAACGGGCTGATTGATGGATTCCCCCATTTAAATGGGATATTTAACGTGAACGATTTTCGAGGAATCCACCCTTGAAACCGTTCGCGAGTATCTAAATCATTAAACCGGATAATCCGTAATCTACCATACGTAACACGAACGTATTCTTCTATTTATTTCTTCGCGCTTCTAACGGATGTGTTTACATACCACGAAGATGAGTCATTATTCCTAATAGACGACGTATCATCACGCACTCGTGTCGCACGCAGATTCATCGAATACGAGAAATACGTTTACGTTAATAGAGTCCAGCGCTGTTGTTACTTCATTATTATCGCAAGCGATCCATCATTCAGTCAATTCAATCTATCCATTGTTGCCGATTGTTCTAAAATAATGCACGAAAGAGGGGATTTGCGTAAAGAGTCCACGGTGTAATTAATATCATAATTATCTTTCGATCGCGAACGCCCGCGCGGCTGCGGTCAACGCTGAATATTCACGGTTCGCTTCGGCTGCTTTTGAAAACAGGTTTCCAAAGACCGTCGTTCAATGGAAAATTATTGAAATTAATATTCCTCTCGTAGAGTTTCAACATAACAATACAATAATAGCGGAAATTCGATTGTTTAGCCCTGAACGATCGTATGCCGCCGTAATGGCGACTTCGAGCTTCGGTGTCTAAAATCAAAACCTCGAAATCAATCACTTAATCGTTCTAATATTATTTAAAGGATAATATTTAAAAAATTCAATATCCGTCAAATCGACGGGTTCCGTGAATCTAGCGTTGAAAAGATAACAAAGTATTCTTAAAATGAAACTAAAGTATTAATCTCTCCATCGTTATATTATTTCGAACAAAAAGTATTCGAGAAAACAATGCTGTCGTTCCAGCTAACAACTAAACGTATCAGGCTGTTAAAAAGCTCTTGTCCGTTAGAGGGGTCGAAGCGCAATAAACGCTCGACCGCGTAACGAGCCCGTAATATTCTGGATTCGGGCAATAAAGGTGATACGGCGTCATTTTATTCACGTTTAGGATCCAGACCGGCTGTCGGGGATATGGCCGACGAGTTTCGCGTGCGATCCGAACGGAAGTTTCAGCCTCCGGGGAGCCGGAGCTCATTAAATCCTCGCGCGAGCCGCGGCGGAGCGGAGCGGGACGTGGGGAGCCGCGAGCGTATGTCTCCTGGAGGAGCGGTGATTTGCAATTGAGATCGCCGTCGGTTAGAATGACGAAAATATGAAATTTAAATGACGCTCGCGCCCGTCTAAACTCAAGCCGCGCGCGTAGACACGACGTACACGCGAAAATATTTCCTCTTCGCCGGCCGAATCAGCGCGATTGCGTCGGAACACGCGTGCGACAGGTTTAGTGAACCCGTTCTTGACGCCGGCCATCGATCTTATCACTGGAACTACCGAGTAATTAGAGGGACTTATTTCTAATCTTGTATAAAGATCAAAGCAACACGTTTCTCGAGATTTGAAGTTGGAAGATGATGTATTACTTGGACAAGCGTGTTCATAATTTAAATGCTTGCAGAATGAGAACAAAATGGCTCAATTTGGCGTGTCCAGTGGATGTATTGTTAACCTCGTTGACCTCAACGTAGTAAAAAATTAACGTATTCGTGTCATAAAACGTGGTATTTCTCTGAATTGTTAAACTGATATTTACGTATGCTTCTCTTTTAATGAGTGTTTCCAGAAGCAGCGGGATCGATGAAAATTGTATTCTTGGAATTAAGAAGTTTGTTGAGTTCTAAGAAGCGTGATAAGGTTTCACTTTTTATTCATTGAATCCATTAGTAAAGAGATTGATACTTTTCGCTACTGCTCGTTACCCGAAATTCGTCCGTCAAATTGAGAATTCGAAGGAAATTCCGCGGATCGGTTACAAGCGAAACGAATATTCCAATGGTTCTGATTAAACTCTTTTAAATAAACTTTGAATAGAATTCGAAATGTTGACGGAGAACTTTTTCGAGCGCGGAAAGAGGGAATTCCGGGGCTCATATAAATCGTCGGACGGGAAGCAGCGCAAACACGCGGCCGCCATCTTGTCGCATATTTGCATATTCACGTAGAAAGTGTTTGTAGTTTAAACACAGTCGAATTTCTGCTTTTACGAGGACGAATATTAAAACTCGTGGCGCCAGGCTCTTTTTTTTGTCATGATAAAATCCGGATTCCTACGTTTTTCTTCGCTACGGACGATATTGTTCGAGGCTCCGGCGGAGCGATCTTCGCTGCACGCCGGAGAGGTTAGGTTTTTATGGTAGCCCGGAGAGTGAACCTCGACCTTTATCCGCTCATTGTTGTACATTTCGTTGTTTGTTCGCTTAGTTGCTTTTCGTATAAAGTCTACGCTAACGGTAATAGTAATAATAATAACAAACGCTGTTTACGCTCCCGCGGTAATCCTCGCCGCATCTTAAGGGGCGACTAAAAGGCAAAACCGACAAAATAGGAGCTCGGAGACCGCAAGTGATTTACAGAGTATTCGGACTGTAACTACAAAAGCTGGAAAATATGGTCAGCTTATATCTGCGACAGCGACCGTGAATAAGGCAGAATACGCGGTTGTCAAGCCGTACATACGAAGATAAAGATACAAGTCGGTCGATAAGGACATACGAAAAACGGGCAATAAAGACTACGGAACGTCTTGGCTTTCGCTCGAGTCTTGAGAAAGGAATTTTTCAATGAATTTTCAATGAATCCTCAGGAATGACCAGTATACTTTATAATGGACCGTTATGTATAATCGAAATGTCAGGAATATAAGCTCCCGGGAAACAATGATGAATCGTTGTTACGATATTAAGCAGAAAGAGGAGGATACGGAGGGAGTTAATGATAATATGCTGAAACTGTAACTCCGTGTTTAGAGTTCCGCTGTCTCGCGGAAATGCCTGTTCTTCTGTTGGGAACTGTCTTACGCAACATTAACGCGCACACCCGAATAAGTTAGCGGCAGCAATTTATCGCCCGCCGCCCTGAGACCATTGTTCCACTTTGCTGCCCCTGCTGTTCCCGGATCGTGAACAATTTCCACCGAATTATCAATAACCGATCCTATCTCGCTCCCAGGAAAACTCGCTGCGGTTTACTATCCCATTTCGTGCACCGAATCCGGTGCACTCCCGTATAATGGGTGTCCAATAACCAGAGGCGCAATAGCTTCATACCGAAAGGGAACTTCGAAGTTTAGGGCATAAAATTTTCAAATATTCGCTATCTTATTTAACGATTCTCACTTTGAAATTCATATTTTAATTTCTTTAACTTGCCTAACTACTGCTTACTGTTTCTACTCATTGTCAACATACATCAAATGAATCATCGACACTAATTCTCGAAACTACTTTTATTTGTATACTTTTTGAAATTCCTCCATAGAAACTCCAAGACATCTATTGAAACTTCAATTGATTTACAGTTTAGTTTTCCTATTGATAAATCAACATTATTATTCATTTCTCAAGGAAACGTCTGCTATCAGTATGGTAATTTGATTGTGAAACACCGAAGGCTAATAAAAATTCAAATCCTCGCAGTTTCACAGATTTATCCAACTTCCTCGTAAATATCAAGCTGTAACACCACGAACTTCGTACCACAGTTTTCGTTGATTTCGTCGTACGGGACCGTTAGATTTATAAAATATGAGAACACGTGAACACAGATTCATTGATTCCGTTCAGAATGACACCAATGAACGCGAAGTAGTTCACGTTGACATAGACGACCTTGACAAAGCAATTTACTTCGCGTCGAAGGTAATATCGCAGTCAGACGCGTGTCTCCCGGCGAACGATCCTCGTTCTCTCGACCGTGCGTCGTTTCCACGGTTTTTACATCGTGATACGAAGAACCGGTGAGGCAATCGGTCGGGAGCCGATGGAACGAAAAGCCCCGCGTAAACGGGAAATGGGTGTTGCGCGACCTCCCGCAAAAACGGGCAACCATTGCCCCGCGACAAATTGCTTGAATAATTTTTCGATAGAATCCGGGATACTCTGACCGCGCTTCTTTCGCAAACGCCAACGTTTTTCGCGTTTCACCGGCGTCCTTTCCTTTTACGTTCCCCGCACAAATAGTTCTCCGCTGTTCGCACAAATCTCCAGTTAAACGACGATTCCCTTTTTCTGCTGCGTGTTTCACTGTTTCGCAAACCGAAGGATTCCCGAATCTCTTGGGAAAGAGGATTCTTCGAAGACTCTTTGAAATGTACAAAACCTTCGACAGCTGAAGCTGAATTATACATTAATTGCTTAAATAATAGCAAAAACAGAAACTACACACTAATCTCTCGCTGCCCGAGTAATTAAATCGTTTGCCTGCGACTTAGTCTTCCAAATATGAACGTTTCATCTCGAAATGTCGACATTCGTCCGCAAAGGGTTAAAACTCTCCGTGAAACAATGAAACTAGTCGCATAGCCAATGCGGTTAGGTCCGGAAAAGGAAACTGGGAAATTAATGTTTTGCCTTCTGAAATGATTATGCGATATATTCAAAAGCTGCAAAAAGAAGGGCTTTCTGACCGAGAACAACCGAAGAAACGAGTGAATCCTAGGATAACTATAAGAATATTATCTCGAATATTAGAAACAATTCGTATCCGAATAATTGAAGGCAAGAACGAAAACATTGGTTGCGAAGGAACGAATTTGTAGAAGAATCTCAAAGAAGCGTTACATCGCGAAGACGACTAATTAGTAGAACCAGAGCATGAGAATAGAAATGAAATGAAAGAATGTAGGAAGCACAAGCTCAGAACAATGAAGTTCCACTGATTACAAAAGAAATAAGTTCAGCAATGGAAAAAAGGATGATTATGAAGTCCACGTGTGAACAAGAAGTAGCGCATGTAAATGGAGAGGAACAGAAAGAATCCTCGCAAGAACGTCGAAGCGCGTTTACGCGGTACAAAGTAGTTAGCAGAATGACAGAGTCCGTCGAAGATCACGTGGGAATTCGTTTCCAAGAGCCGTCGCCGAGAACGAGGAGAAAAAAGTGGCCGCAGGATCGCGGAACGAAAGCGCGTCGGAAAAGCGACACTTCATCGTGACTGTCGCGTTTTCGTATGACGGGCACGTAACGGTATGGAATGCGCATCGCGGCGCGTTTCGCGTTCCCGCGATCAGCACCTGTCCGATTCGCAGACACGACGCACGTGCTCGTGCTCGCCGGACGCAAAAACTGGCCGGTGTCGCTTAGGTCTTCGCCGCTGATGAGCTTCATCGAACCTAACCAAACACGCCGAATCACGGATTTTTCTACAGTTATTCAATCCTTCAGTCCCATTTCGTTCATAGATTTTTCCTTAGTGTTTGCATTAAACCTAAATAGTAGTTTGTATCGGAATGATTGATTGATTACGGAAAGAATTTGCCTAAGAATTCCGAAGTATCACATCGCGGAGCAACTTAACACAGTTTAAAGTTGATATTTTAATTATCTCATACTTTACTTTAATTATCTTATAGATTAGTTGGAAGCAATTATTATTGAACCAATCGAACGTTTGGACACTTTGATGTTTAGACAAAATGTCTGCTCTGCATATTCTTTCAGGAGGAATTACCTTCTTCCTCGTCGTACGATTATTAGTTGTTCATTACGTTGTACTGCAATTACGTAGTATTGCAATCGTTACTCTTCTATTGCAGCTGGAAAAGGTGATACAGTTCTCGTTACCGATGAACCCAAGGAAGTCTTCGAATTCCAAATAACGTCAGCCGTGGAACACGATGAGGAACGACTCGGAAACGCGATCGCGCGCCGTGGGGCTCACCCTTTCGGAAATTGGATCGTTCGGCAGTAATTTACGAGGCCCACAGGAAATTCAACGGCGAGGCCGACACGTGTACAGGTCGGGACGCGTCGCGATCCCGCTGCCTCCGATTTCCATGCATCTCCGCGGAGTTGTTCGTCACGCGTAAGTAATTAGACTGCATACGTCCGAATTGAGACGTGGATTTCCGCTGTCGTCACGCTTCAAATGTCAACCTTTGGTTTTTACTGTTGCCCGCGAGGATACTGCGGTAACGTCATTGTAATAAAAGATAAGTCATGATCGGCGTAACGGTAACGTTTTTACGTTGACCGCTCGACCTCGAGTTACACGCGTGGATACCTGGAAAAACGTGACATCATTTCTCGCGTGGGATTGCGTGAACGCCTCTTAATTCAGCCTGAAAAGCACATTTCTTGGCCTCTTCTGTTGCCCACGGTCTGTGAAAGTCATTGTTTCATTAGCGACTGTGGGCGTGAGTGGGCGGACTCTGATGAAGGACCCCGAAGGTGTTCACGAAAGAAATTGGCATCCTGGGAACTGGCGTGAGAGGACCTCAATTTTCTCCTTGCCTAGGAGTGCTGAAGTTTGTTTGGATGTTTAGAACTAGAGGATAGAACTCTAGGACTGTTGAATATTACTTTTTTGTATTGCTAAGACTCTAGGACGCTAGAAGTACTAGATCTCATTTTTCTGAATCACTAGGTTTCTAGGACTCTAGGGTTACTGAATCTTATTTTTCTAAATCACTAGGTCTCTAAGGATCTCAGGACTATTAAATCTTATTCTTTATCCCTAGGGTCCTAGAAACCTAGTGATTCAGAAAAATGAGGTTTCTAGGACTCTAGAGTTACTGAATCTTATTTTTCTGAATCACTAGGTATCTAAGGATCTCAGGACTATTAAATCTTATTCTTTAGAGTCCTAGAAACCTAGAAACCTCCTAGAAACCTCATTTTTCTGAATCACTAGGTTTCTAGGACTCTAGGGTTACCGAATCTTATTTTTCTGAATCACTAGGTCTCTAAGGGTCTCAGGACTATTGAATCTTATTCTTTAGAGTCCTAGAAACCCAGTGATTCAGAAAAATGAGGTTTCTAGGACTCTAGGGTTACCGAATCTTATTTTTCTGAATCACTAGGTCTCTAAGGATCTCAGGACTATTGAATCTTATTCTTTAGAGTCCTAGAAACCCAGTGATTCAGAAAAATGAGGTTTCTAGGACTCTAGGGTTACCGAATCTTATTTTTCTGAATCACTAGGTCTCTAAGGATCTCAGGACTATTGAATCTTATTCTTTACTCCAGGATTCTAGGTCAGAACTTTTTAGCTCCCCTAGATCCACACCTTACGACCCCAAGAATCTGAAACTCGAAAATTCCAGGTAGTAGAACGATCTGACTCCAGAAAATTGAGAAGTCTAACGGCATCAAAGATTATCAGGGTCGGATTGCGGCAAATTCAGAATTCTATATTCGACGCTATACACGCTCGGTTCAATTTTCCGCTGGGGGAACAATTGTTTTAGGATCTCCGATGTCGAGATGGCGTCTCCTCTTTCCATCAGGCGCGATGATATCCTGCGCGACTGGCAGCGAGCGTATGTAAATTACACCGTCCGTAAGCGTAGTCACGGTCGATATTTGCTCATTCCGTGAAATGTTACGTCGAAAGTATTCGCCCGTCCCGATGGCCCGGCCACCCCCTTCCATTCTTTTCCTCTTGAAACCGCTTTTACGCTGGTCCCCATCGAACGCAATTTCCTTTCGACGTGTGCTGAATCGGTTACCGGTGAACGAGCCGAGCGGTTTACGGTTTAACGCGGCCGCGGGGATGCGACGATTGCGTTACGTTTTAAGGGCCGCCATTTGCTCCGTTGTAAGAACCCGCTGAGAACTGAATAACGCTGCTGTAGATCATTCTACTGAAATGTTCACGCGAAAATCGGAATTTTCAAGGGAATAAGAGAAAATCAAATTGAATAATGTAGCGATGCTTTAATGGAAGGAATTCTGAATGAAGTTTTTGCGATCTACTTCAACGCCGGTAGGTGACGGTTGAATAATTGAATATTTAATTATCCGAATGCTTGAGAAATTCGACGGTCAATTGATTTTTCAGTGGTTTAATCGTCGAACGGTTCGACGTTAATAAACGCTGTAACGTTCCGTGCCGTGATCGTCGCGGCACCTGCTATTTACCTTTCCCGTTCGGAATATTATGGCTCGCGTTTTAACGCCGTCGTTATCTCTCTCATTATTTCGAGTAATGGCGCCGATATTAATCTGTCCACGTCCCATCAAGGCCGCTGATGACGTAATACCATCCAAAAAGCGTTTGACCGAGGACAGGTATTAGTTGAAACGCGGCTGCGTCTACGTCAGCGAACGACGCTTTCATTCGCACCGGTGATATCAAGAAATATTTATGTGTCCAATATCGACGTTTAATGGACTGACGCGACAGACCGTGTGTCGTCATCGTCTACACGCTGGAGATCTAGATACTCTGAAATATAGACTTCAACCCTTTGCGGTCGGAAGCGCTCTTGGTTTCTCACTTTGAGGTTCACGTCGACGTTAGTTCATTCGATTACAGCTTAACATGACGATCTATTTATTTATTCAAGAATATTTGGGAGTCATTGTTACCTTTAAATGTTATAATTGTGATACTACAAATAAATATAGAAAAAATTGTTAAAAGGTAGAGGTTGCAGTAAAATAGAATGTCGAGTCTGACTCGACATAGGAGTGCTAATTAAAGTCTATTGTTTCCTATGCCTAAATACTTATAAGACTTCAGTGTTTTAGAATTTTAGAAGTTCAAGCATCGAAAGCTATTAACAACCTAAATCTTTGTACTTCCAAAGCATCTAACGAAATTAACTAATTAATTTCAAAAGTCTAGATCCTCGAAAACATAGAACTCTGAAGCTTTCGAATTCTAAATGTATAAATCTCCGAAACGCAAGCAAAAATCTTCGAAATCATTGAAATCCGGTTACCTAATGCTGTAGAAACGCAGAATCCTCTAACTGTACTCTAATTATTGTTTCCTATGTCTAAATACTTATAAGACTTCAGTGTTTCAGAATTTTAGAAGTTCAAGCATCGAAAGCTATTAACAATCTAAATCGTTGTACTTCCAAAGCAACGTTATAGAATCTCAAACGTGTAATTTCAAAAGTCTAGATTCTCAAAAACATAGAACTCTGAAGCTTTCGAATTCTAAATGTATAAATCTCCGAAACGCAAGCCGAAGTCTTCGCAATCGTTGAAATTTGGTTGCTTAATGCTGTAGAAACGCAGAATCCTCTAACTATAGGGGCCTACAGAAATTCATGCGACCACAGCTACGTGTCTGATAGACGCTGCGAGCTCAATACCGCGAAACCATCAAGACACCCTTACGAATTACGTGACGACTCCACCATTCCACAGCAAGATCACCATAGTAACTACGGGGATGCCCCTGAAATGGCAATACGATCGTCGCGCGGTGTTGTTCCCGTAAATTTTCAGCCCGCCTGTCGGAGTCAGGTTTCTATGCCACGACGAGCATTGACGCAACCAGTGTCCCCATGGGTGCCATCGTTACGCGACGTTTCACGGAGGCGACAGAAATTTGTGCGTCTCCTTGCCACGTTCACGATATTCTACCCTCTTCGCTAACGTATCTCGACGACCAAACATCTCATTAATTGCCTCGAGTTCCTTAATATTTTAAATAATACTTCACACTTTTCTATTGATGTTTCCTCTGCAAATTTGATTAAACTCCATCTTGAGAGTACCACTTTACCATATTAATCTAAATTCAAATCTACATAAAAGTAACTTTCCCTTTCTTCAATTAACCCTAGATTTACAGACGTTTGTCCTATACTTTATTCTATGATTCCTAGAGAACTACATATTCGTTTATACAGATCGCGAAAATTATAGCTTCGAAACTAAGGTATCACAGTGAGCATTCGCTTAATCGCACGAATCAAAATTAACTTAAACCGTTGCCAAATAATGCTTGAGAATTTCAATATCTATTAACCCTTTGCACTCCAACGGTGCCTCTCAGTCATCACACGATTGGTGCATCAAAATTGTAAAATTTCATATTTAACATTAAGTCTCGAGTAATCTGTCGATACGTGAAATGTGGAAATAAAATATCATTGTTCCCTTTATTTTGTGAATAGATTCCTCGTTAAGTTAGTTTTAAAAAATGTCGTCTATATCTCATAAAAATAAATTGAATATTTCTAGTAACATATTATTGGAGTGCAAAGGGTTAAATACTCAAAGCCATCCAGCTAAACACAAATTTACACATTGCCAATATATCATCCCGACAAAAAAGTCCCCTATGTTCTCCAATATGGCGTTCGTGTTTCAAGAGCAACCGTTATTAATGAATATTTACATCGAGAACGATAACAGAAACTGTCCGCACGAAGTGGCCAGCGGATAAGTAACTGAAGCGATATTCATCTCAAAACTTCGAAGAATTAATGGCTTCTTAGCTCGTTCGCGAACTTCCGTGTTCCGAGTTCGCAAGCCAGTTTGCGCGCCGAAGAATTTCCGGCGCGGTCGGGCGATCCGTTACGAGTTACGCGGTTAACGTTCACGCGGCAGCTTGCCGGTGGCTCGCGTCGCCCGTCGTTAAGCGAATGAACTATTGCCTCGCCGAAAACTTTCGGGACAGCCCTGGGAAAAGGTTGTACGTGAAAGTTCACGGTTCCCCGCGCCATTTCCCGGTAACTTCCGTCTTCCTATTGTCGGGAACTTGATGCATGGCTATTCCAAGCGCCGCGCACTTTCGAGCACACCGGCGCGATTAAGGCGCCGGCTTCGTGTTATTACTGTTTAGATAACTGGTTCTGAAACTTAGATGATGTTCCATGATCGTGGACCCCGTCTTCAAGACGTTAATGGGAACCCGGAGAAAATAGTATAGATCCTAACCGAGCATCCTGGTGCTAGACGCTCTCCATTACTGGTTGGAATTTCTAATTAGTATTTGAAGATAATCCCTTGTACTCTCACTGAAAGTTATGATTGCGGAGATTACAGCTTTTATTTGAGAAGGAAAGATTTGTTTTATGCAGAAGATTTGGATCGCTAAATGTGGATTCTTGTAGATTA